GAGTTCTTAAAGTATTCTTTAAACTTACTATTAATAAATTCGATACTATTATCTAGACGAATTATCTTAATCTTATAATCGAATTTATTTTCTATCTAAATTTTCTAATTATAGAATAATTTAAAGATCTCGTCTTTATATTTATATATAAAGTATTAGATTTAAAGAGTCGCTTAATCGATTAGAAGTATATAGTATTTAATCTTATTAATAGATAGTATATTAAAAGATCCTTTCAAGTCTATATGAATCTTATCGAGTTTTTCGAATACCTTATATTATACTCTTCTTGAAATCTTTTATATAGATTTAATCTTAAAATAGATCTTATATATTAATCTAATCTATAATTTCTAAGTTAGTATAATACTCTTACTTATATTAATTAGTCTCTTAAGATTCGCCTTATTTAAATACTCTATTTGACGATATTATAGTTTAATAACTTTCTCGTTAAATATTAGACTTATTATTAAGACTCTTATATTCTTCTAAATAAGTATTAAAACCTTAGCTATAAATTATGAGATGCTAAGAATATAGATATTATTTATCTTCGAAGTACTATTAATAAGCTTACTATCTTAAAGAATATAATAGTTATTATTAAGAAAGGTAATTTTAAATCCTTTTCGTGTGGTCTAACTAATCGAAAATAGTCTGCATATAAGATTCGAAACATATAAGACTTTACTAACTTTTACGATATTACTGAATCTATTCTATAATAGCCATTCTATTTCGACTATACCGCGGTTTTATATTTAAATAATAGTTTTATTAGCTATTATAACACCTATACGATATAACTAATAGTTAATAAACTCGTTTTTATTAAAGAATATATAATTAATATAGTTTAAATTTATTATTTATTCGTATATAATAGTAGATTAACTATTTATATATACTATATAGAAGAGAAAGTGAGTTAAGAATTCGTATAATAATTCGTTAATTATTTTGTTCTCTGAAGAATTAAATAGAGAGTCAAGAATATTTTTAGTTTTTTAACTTATCTTATTACCCAATTTTAGATTAGCGTTAAGTTAAGATGTTAATTAATTCTCTATATTCTTTTATAGTTCTTGCGATTTAGTTATTTCGACTAAGAGATAATCGAGAGACTTAATTTCGAGCTCTTTATTCATTACCCCTTTATCTAATTTAGATATTAAGCTATTAACTAAGTAGTCTTAATACTCTTCGTCTTCTATAATATCTCTATCATCGATTATAGTATAGATTATTATTAAAATATAAGTATAATTTTAATTTACGAAATCGTTTAGTCTATTTATAGTATTAATTATATTCGCTTTAAACTTGAAGTTCGAATTGTTATTACTATTATTATTATTATTATTATTATTATTTCGAAATTGATTAGATATCTTTTCGTTATGAAGAGTCTAGCAGCTATACAGTCAATATCTCTTTTTACTCTTATTTAATAATAGTAGATACTTTAAACACTTAGATATATCACCTAATCCCTTATAGTAGATACTATTCGAGTTATTTAACGAGAAATTAAAGTTATAATTATTATTTCCACCGTTGTTTCCACCCCGGCCTTATCCTAAAGTATTACCTCTATATTCTAAATTGTTATTACTTCTAAAGACCTTCTTATCCTTCTATTTTTTATAATATTTCTTTATAATAACGACTATAACTTATTTCTTATTATCTCGCTTAAAGAGACGATTTTCTTCGTAAAGAAGTATAATAATTTTATTAAAGTCTGATATATTATCAAGTTATATAATAAGACGATATATGAAGTTCTTATACTTTCTATTTAAATTGTTTAATAATAGAGTAATAAGTATCTATTTATTAATTAAAGCTCTCATACGCTTAAGATTCTTAGATTTTATATATATATTAATAATATAGATCTTAATCGAGTTATTACTATTAATTATAGTAATATTTTATAATTTCTATAACTTAATAAAGCGAAGTATAAATTCGAAGTTAGTATAGTCAATTTAAAGTTTACTTTATTTAATTATAGTTACCTCCTTATCTTCTATTACTTCGACTAGTTTATCTTTATATATCGAATAAATAAATTTCGATACTTGATTATTAAGATTTTTTTAGATCTTTATCTTAATATTATAAGTTAAAACTTATTAATTAATAAATCTTAATATAATAGTTCTTATACGGTAAATTTTATTAGCTAGTATATTTATAATAATAACTTTCTCTAATAGATTATCTAAAAATAGTGTTAATTCTTATTTTACTACGTCTCATAGATCGTAATACTTTAGAGTACTCTTTATCTTCTGTAATTATAATTAATAATTTTCCTAACCTTTTAGCTTTAAGACATTTTAGATCTAAGTTAATATAGCTATATATATATTAAACGCCTACGTAGTTATCTTATATAACTATCTATTAAAGAAAGAATAAAAGAGTAAATAGAAAAATGTATGATAAGAATATAGGAATATTCGTTTAACTCTCACAATACCAAATTATTAAAATAGATAAATATTTCTAATTAACAGTGTAGAGATCACGATAATGGAAATCCGGGCTTATAATCTATTGGAAATGATATATACTTAATAATCTTATATCAATATAGAATGGTTATTTATTGTCATATTCTATGAAGAAGTATATAGTAAGGATGGAGGTGACTACCTATCTATGATGTGAAGCCACGCTAAGGCTATTTATTACCATAAGGCGTAGTCACAACACCTATTTGGAACTTAGTAGTGTGTAGGAATGCTGGCCTCCTATTGGCTGATTCCAACAACGCAGCTTCTTTTTTTCCTGTCTTCGCAAGCGCTGAGGAGATAGGGCTCGCATTGCCTAGGGTACTGTAAGGTACGTACCGTATGTAACAAGTAAGCTATGTTTAGCGCAAATATCTACACAGCCCTGCATTTGAGGGGTTGTAATTGAAACCCTCTCAATATCACATCGGAATTTGGAAAAGGATTTGAACAGCGCAAGGAATTTATCTTTGATGTTGATTCACTTGATCTTGACAATTTGTACCGTCTCGATTGTCAACTTTGTCTGGCGCCCAGTCTGCCCCTGCCAACGTTCATATTACGATCTCTATTAACCTTGCTTCTTTCCTCTCTCATTCGCCTACCATGTGCAGAACTCATCTTCACCCCTATCTCGCCGCCCTTCCCAAGGCGGAGCATCACATGCACCTCGAAGGTGCCCTTTCTCCAAGCCTCCTCTTCGCGCTCGCAGCTCGCAATTCCATTACGATCCCTACGAGCGACGCAGCCTTTGGGTCTCCTGCCGCCCTTCTTGATCGATATACTCGCTTTTCATCCCTGGATGACTTCCTCCATTACTATTTCATTGGAATGAAATGTCTCGTAAAAGAACAAGACTTTGAGCAGTTAGCTTGGGAATATTTCTTGAAAGCTAAAAGTGATGGCGTGGTACACGCCGAGGTATTCTTTGATCCGCAGGCGCACACTGGCAGGGGTATCACATACGAAACTGTTGTCAATGGATTCACGACGGCGTGCCAGCGTGCAGAAAAGGAGCTCGAGCTGAGCACGAAGCTAATACTCTGTCTTTTGCGACATCTACCCGTCGAAGACTCGACAAAGACATATGCCCAGGCCAGAATGGACTGGGAGACTGGGCGTCTGGCCGGCTTAGGTTTAGATTCGAGCGAGAAAGGATTCCCTCCAGGAGCTTGGAAGGAAATTTACGGGACAGCGAAGACGAATGGAATAAGAAGAACAGCTCACGCTGGGGAGGAGGGACCAGTCGAGTATATCAGAGAGGCGTTGAGTGAGCTTGATGTTGAAAGGATTGACCATGGGATACGATTGGCCGAGGACACCGAATTGATGCGAGAAGTTGCGGAGAAGAAGATTCTCGTCACACTGTGTCCATTATCGAATGTCAGGTTACAATGCGTGAAAGATGTAAAGGAGCTGCCGATCAGGACATTCTTGGATAATGGGGTCATGTTTTCGATCAATAGCGATGATCCGGCGTACTTTGGTGGCTACATACTGGACAATTATTGCGCGGTACAGGAGGCATTCAACCTCACAGCCAGAGAGTGGGCGGCTATTACGAAAGCAGCTGTGGAAGGCAGTTGGTGTAATTATAGCAGGAAACAATACCTTCTGGAGCAGCTGAATGAGACAATGGTGCAATTTGGCCATGGGTGACTTTTGGATAGAACGAGACAAGGATTTATCAACATAAATACCACCTTGAAAGCAATGCTTGACAAGCAGTCGGTTTGAGCAAGATTGATTCTGAGCTTGGCTGGGCTCTTCGCCACTCGTCTTACCAAGCCGTTGTTGATGCCATGGCAGGTCTCTTACGGAAAACGTATCGCCTCATGCTCATCGTTGCCATCTCAAGGGATAGGCCTGGTTGTCCGCAGTTTGTGAGCATGATCTGATAAAGAAAGAAAGCAGAAGCGACGAATTTGAGGTAGAATTCACACTTTCGATGGCTTGCCATCCCTGTCCACCTGCTAGAGCGAATACTCATCGACGCGCAGATCTGGTTGTAGGGGCAGTCCCGAACTGGAAGTCTTAGGTGAGCAATCGAAACGCGTTTCTCCAAATATCACGACCTCGTTGCACTTATGTGATCTCTAGCGAATTTAATTCTGCAGAGGTACCGTACTGTCTTGATACCGAGAATTCTACTTCCCCACACGTGCAGACAGAACCAAATTGGACGTATGCATGGATCCATGCATCATATACGAGTTTCAAATGCTGTAGTGAGAAATGCAGGTAATATCTCCCACATTAGTGTCACATCTCAAGAATGTATTTACCTTCAAACCTTTGATATTTCATGATGCTTGAGCCTCCAAGTGCGGAAAATGGCGTCACTTGATTGATGCAGTGAAAATCACTTGAGCAGACTGTAATGACACCGCTACAGCTTGAACACACCACATCTTCTTCTCTGTTCCTTCACTTACAGATTCAGTCTCAATCCTGGCTGAGCTTCAAGTCGTCATGGCTTCCAAAGACAAAGACTTGTCTCTGGTAGACTATCGTCAGCGCCTGATCTATTTCAAAGACGCCGATGCAGAGAGAAATAGTATGATCCACGTGAAAGAAACCGTTCTAACTGCGCTGTCTGCAACAGCTTACCAATTCTTACGACAAGGACTTACCGAGAAGCTGTAGCAAGCACAGATAGGGTTTCGACAAATATCGCTGGATTTAGAAAGCGAACGAGGCCAACGGCGCATACTTCAGAGCCGTGTCGAAGATCTAGAAGCCTTGACTGTGAGTCGATCTGGACGATTCAAAGGGGGTCCAGCTAATCGCGAACCATTTTTGAAAAGTCCAGGATTCATCTTGGTGTTGATAGATGCCGACGCAGATGACTACGCTGTACGTTTCTCTTTCTAATCCGTACGTTGTTGCGAAAAGATGAATCTGAATCTTTTGACCTGCCTAGTTTCACGAGAAATTCTTGAGCAGAAATGAGGCAGGCGGCAGAGATGCTGCGGATGAACTGCAAGCTAGAACCAAAGACTATGTGAAGAATATCAAGCTTGATGCCGAAAACACCGACATCACAGTCCGAGCATACGCGGATTTGAAGAGCCTCAGATCAGCTTGTGTGAGGAACGGAAGGATGAAAGAGAGCTCCAGCATGAGTTTATTTGCTCATGGGCTCAACTAGCGGCATGCATTGTTCGACTTCGTCGATGTTGGTCCAGGGAAGGAGGGGGCTGATAACAAAGTTCGAGGTACGTTCATTCTACAAGAATCTTTTCAATTCAGCCGTCATCTAAACGACAATAGGCAGAGTGTCTCAACTTGTTCGTCGAGTTTTGGGGATGCAAGCACATTATCCTCGGTGCTTGCCACGACTCAGGCTACGCATCCTTTTTGGGAAAGTTTGCGGGCGATCTTTCAATCAGAGATCGCATCACACTCCTCCACGGCGGTACGATTCATCCCAGGATCGCTGAATTAGGTTTCACGGAGACTCTGCAACTCAGTCGGTCTTCGCGACGCACAAGACATCCGCTGTCCCCACGGTTTTCGCCAATGCTAGAGTTTCCGCGACACCAATTTCGCCCTCGGCATCGGTTGCAGCGTCTTCAGTCAAGCACCCCCTCAATCCCGCGGCCTTGACTGATAGATTTGGTCTTGTCTTTCGCGACGACACTGGCAAGCGGGTGGATAAGCTGCTAGGCGTTGATGCCAACACCCCGTACATGAACTTTTTACGCCAAGCAAACATGTGCGGGTGGTATTACTTGCGTGGCAAGTGTGATGGCTGCGATAGGAGTAATTTTCCTCTCCCTCTCAAAGCCAGGGAGTTTTGACTGTTTATGGTTTCTTGTACGCCATGGGTTGTGCTTCAAGGTTCGCAGGGGCAAGGATTGTGACGACTCGAAGTGTATCTACGGACACGAAGAAGGTCTTCCGATGGGTTCGGTGACGGGCTGAGATTGGGTTTCCAATCCCAATGCTCTATTAACGAGATTCGATCCTCAGATGCTCGACAGTGGCCTTTTTATAAGGTCCTCTCGGTCTGGTTGGCATTTGGTCGTCTGTGGCTGTGTATCTAGGAATTTAGTGATGCAACCCCAACAAAGCTCCAAACTGATACTCACATTCTCCATCTCCTTGCTTTAGATGTCACTGTCCATGGAAAGATTTTATTACTAATCTATGTAGCTGACCTATCAGCCATGGAAGAAAAGCCTGAAAGAAAACCTTCAAATGGCGAGACCAGATGCCAAACAATATCCGGCACCACCGGCTACGATTTGAGGCATCGGCCCGTGCCCTTCCTCTTCCGCTCATTACCGGCTTTTAAGAGGGGTACATATCCGAAAACTCATCTTATGTTTCCTCATCCTTTACTGTGTATTGCTTCGTAGCCCTATAATTCCTTCGAGGTCTCAATCGGAGCAAAATTATGGCACCCAGATTTTTACTTCTCGGTGGTCATGGCAAAGTATTCCAGCTACTTACACCCCTTATTTTATCCCGTTCCTGGCAACTCACCAGTGTCATTCGAGATCATGCCCAAGAATCCACTGTCACGTCTCTGGGAAAGAATCAGCCCGGAGAGCTCGATGTCCTAGTGTCGAGTATTGAGGATATCAGAACACAAGTCCAAGCCCAGTCCATCATCGATTCCACATTCCCCACATATGTTTTCAGCAGGCGCAGGTGGAAAAGGCGGGCCAGAGCGAACGCTCGCTGTAGATCGTGACGCCTGCATCGCCTTCATCAGCGCAGCAGTTGCAACTCAGCGTGTCCAAACCTCTACTCGTTTCTTACGTCGGCTCGCGTCGTTCCAAAGCTGCCTGGTAGAGTGACGTCGACTGGACCGCCACCCAAGAAGCCAATAACGGCGTGCTGAAGAACTATTTTCCGGCTAAGATCGCTGCAGATGAGTGCTTGACTTCTTTGGCATCTCAGCGTCAATCAGGCCGTGTGGGCATATCATTAAGGCCCGGCAGTTTGACAGAGGAGAAGGTAAGGAAACAGTCGCGCTTGGAAAGACGGGTGCGAAAGGGACTGTGAGGCGATACGATGTCGCAAGAGTTGCAATGGCGTTGTTAGAGAATGAAGGGGTAGGAAGCTGCTGGTTGGACCTGTTGGAAGGAAAGGAAGAGGTCGAAGATGCCGTGGAGAGGTGTGTTGGGAAGCAGGTCGATTGTGCGGATGGCGAAAATGTGAAGGGCGTGGCGAGGGAGCAGCAGTAGCAGTAGCAGCTGGAGCCCAGATATCAAGCTTTGATTTCCATGTATGAATTTAGTTATTTATCAGGGAGTATTGCATAGAATGACTCTTGGGGCTTGGCCTTCGCTTGATCCGTGTAGGTTAATGGCAGGAAAACAGGAGCACTTATAATTTACACTGCACTATATCCTCCTCTTGAACCACCGCCTTGTATAGTGTTGACGACCCTTCGCATCCAATCCCTAAAAAGATAGGGCACATCTCTGATCGTTTCCGAGTGCGGCAAAAGGTCCCAACCTCTGGCCGAGTACTTGTTATAATTGAGCCAACTGCCGAAAATGAGGTACGCGGCGACGCCCATGAATGCACTGTGGAAGGACGCCTTGTTAACAAATCGATCATGAAAGACACAAACTTAGCACTTACATGATAATGAACCATGTGAAAAAACCTAATTCCGGAGTCAGTACCCCCTATCCAAGAGAGGGCGTGGAGGCCAAGAACTCACCCCAATGCCCACTACTCGAGCTTTTCCTGTCATCTCTCACATCCTCGCACCCATACTTCGTGGTCCAATCCAACCTAAGAACCTTCGTGCCTTCTTCAACATCCCAGCTGACAAGCTTCAATTTTCCTCCATGCCCATCATCCACCTCTTCCCCTTTCTTATCTCCACCTTCTCCAGCCCCATCATCCTCTTCATCCTCCGCCACCCGCGGATCTCTTCTCATACCGTCCCTTGTACTGTTATTGCATAAGAATTCCACAATAGCTTTCTGTTTCTGACCGTCGGTATCCTTTCCCCCATTCATTTCGAGCCGAACACCCTCTTTTACCTTATCAGCGTTGGACGCCGATGATTTCAAACGTGTCCATTTGGGATCCAGTGCTCCACCGAAGGAATGCGAGAATTCGCCAGCTATAGGAATAGTTTCGATGATTGTGGTCACATTTTCAACCGTATTGTCCAGGCGCTTGATGGCACAGGCTGTAGAAGAAACGTGAAAGTCAGTTTATGTAAAGTGCAGCATAAGGGCCATTTTCGCCAAGATATCAGCCTACCTCTAGAATAGTTAGGACAATCTTCCTCTTTTGGTACGCCTTTTTGTTTCTCTAAAGGCCGACAGATGTCAATTGTAAATGTTGTTGTTTTGATTCCGTTAGGTTGTTTCTCGATCCTGTAGAGAGAATGGGGCCCTTCCAGGGTCCTGAAGTTGAATGATACACCATCGTCCCGAACGTCCGAGCAGTCGAGCGATATAGCTGTTGCGAGAGATGGAACAAGGAGGATGACCGATGAGAGTCTGATGTAAGGATGAGGAGATAGTCGCATGATATGGACTGGTGGCTCGAAGGCCCAATTGATTACTCTGATGAGGTGTCCAACGCGAAACCTAACACTAAACGCTTGAATAAGTGAAGAAAAAGGCTCGCTAATCGTGTGATGCGAAGCTGTAGGTCTCTGGGAAGAAACAATGCCTGTAAGCTTTAAAGAAACTTTGGTCTTCTCACGAGTCACCGCGCCAAGTGTATGTCTTGGCAGGGCTGAATAGCCACGCTAGCAAGCGAGCCCGCTAATCTTCACACACTAATTTTCTCCTCAGCGAGGACTCAACTCATCGACATCATTCACAGAGTGCATCACCCATCATGTGTAAGTCTTACGGCTAAAGGCTTGATCTTGACGCAATGGATCTCTTAGAATTCTGGCATACTGCAGCAACTCGCTGACATTCAACGCAGCACTCGTCTCGGGAGAGAAGTCGAACTTCCAGTTCATTCTTCGTCTCCTCAACACCAACGTCGATGGCAAGCAAAAGATCATGTATGCCCTCACCAAGATCAAGGGTGTCGGACGCCGTTACTCCAACCTGGTTTGCAAAAAAGCCGACGTGGACTTGAATAAGCGGTATGCTTCCAGCAACACCCTCTCCTCCCCCCCCTGGGCCAATCTAGGCCACGCACGTCTCTCACAAGCGATGCTAACAGTGGGTTGCTATTCCAGAGCGGGTGAAATCACTTCTGAAGAACTCGAACGCATTGTCACCATCATCCAGAACCCCACTCAATACAAAATTCCTACCTGGTTCCTTAATCGCCAGCGTGACATTGTGGATGGCAAGGACTCGCAAGTATTGGCAAACGGCATGGACAGCAAGCTGCGTGAGGACTTGGAGCGCTTGAAGAAGATCCGTGCGCATAGAGGTTTGAGGCACTACTGGGGTTTGAGGGTTAGAGGACAGCACTCGAAGACTACTGGTCGGAGGGGAAGGACTGTTGGTGTGTCGAAGAAGAAGGGTTGAGCGGACGGCAGGACTCCTTGCGGAGAGTAGGCGGTGCCTTCCTGTGGTGGTCTTGATGTGCAAAGCTTAAACTTGGCACCGAAATCGCGTACACAAGTCTTCTTGTCTCGTGAATTAGGTCAAATTAACAAATGCAGCCACCCTTTCTTGCGGGCTCGCGACGGAATCTGCTCGCAGATAGCTGGTGATCGGCTGACGGAAATGCTGGTTTGCCGTGAAGCTCTGTGGAATCTAGAGATGCGCGAGACGGTACGATTCTAGTCTCCTTCGTGGAGCACAGCCATGTCAAGCACCTCGACTCTGCCTTTGCCTTTCGTCTCACCACCGACGAACTCCCCCAAGCCTTTGAAGGCTCCCGGCTCCACGAAGCCAACTACTTCCCATTCCTGCCCCAACGTATCCTGGGTCTCTATCTGCTCCACATAGCTCAATATCCTGTCTTTCACAGTCCCGGTGGCTCTCTCCGCGTCAACGTCTTCTCCGTCCTCTGCTGCTTTCTTTGGCCCTGCTTTCGTTGCCTGCTTGAGAATACTCGAAGGACACGTAACCCTCAACCTCATCCTCGCCCTCGACACGGGTATGGGCTGCCATGCGATCAACGCCTTCATAGCCTCCAGAGCCTGGCTTTTCGCACTCTTCGTAGTCACCACGCCCGTCCACGTCGGCAAGTCCTTCCTCTTCCCCTTGGCCTCCTCTCCGTCCGCTGTTGGCGTAGCAGTAACACTCCCTTTGCCATGTTCTTCTTGCTTATGTTGTGCACCCTGACTGCTCAACTGCTCCAAGGCTTTCTCAATCATCCCCGCTGTGTATACTCTTTGACTCTTCGGATCGACTAATTTTCCAGCAACGATGTCCACAATCTCGTTGTGGATCCTTTCCGCCTGCGCATGCCGTTCCTTTTCACCAACCTGCATCTCACCTTTCTTCAGGATCTCTTGAATAATGTCGTCAACACTGGTCTTTGGTCCGAAAGCCTTTGCCAGGTCCTGTGTGGGCGCCGTCTGCCCTTTGCTGACGGAAAGAAAGACGTTGGGTATCTGGAGAACATTATCCAGGTCGGTCTCGATACCACTACGGTATTCGAGGACTTTGTTCTTGTAGCAGGCGATTTCGAAGCGCTTTTTACCTTTTTTCAGACGGACGAGAGAGACATTTGTTAGACGGATTTGATTTGAGGGCTGGTGTTTGGAGGTCAGTCCGTATATATACGTGTGAAACTGGCCACCGAATCGAAGGCACACACCTGATTTATCTGCATAGTGACGGCAAGAGTGCCTTGAGGGTTTTTGGGGTTGTTTACTGCTTCTGCTCACTACTCAAGTCCTGCACTTCCACATGAGATAGATACTTTACTGTTCATTCACACACAAATTGATGCTTAACCTTAAAAATTTCACCTTATCGATAAGCTTTGGAGGCTTTGCCTCGGCATGAATAGTCATAGCATCATCCCACTTCTGTGATACATCCCCTACTCTGTACCCAACCCTTTCATGTTCCCTTCGAACTGATCAAATTTAGCCAAAATCCTCGTATATATCTCACGGCCTCCAGCTACGGGTCAGCATTCTGGACCATGCCTCACCAAAATCCCCCAAAGGTCGTCCTTTTCGATATTGGCGGTGTTTGTGTACGCTCATAATTATCACTTCCGCTAGAGGACAGCTTCTCTGATTCTAATCCACTTTCCAGGTACTCTCTCCTTTCCAAGGCATAATCGACTTCGAACGTAAGAACGGTTTGCCAGCGGATTGGGTCAACTACGCAATTCGAGTACGTACATTCCTGAGATCATCTTTCCTGTTTGGTATTGGAATTGAGTCATAAGATATGTTTCGGGAGCGAGAGGACCTCTCTACTTCCGGGACCGGTCTTGCAAATCCATCTTCCACCCGGAACGAGCAATGCTGACTCGGAAATCTGCGTAGTACAGTTCCCCCAATGGCTACTGGCAGCGTCTCGAACGCGGAGAACTCAAGATGGATGCAGAATTCTTTAAAGGCTTCACGGCAGATCTCCATAATAAGAACGCCTGGAAGGAGTTTCACACAAGTTTTAGGAACGAGAAGAAGAAGCTGAAGGACATGGCTAATCCGACGCAGCTGGGGGATCACGTTAGCTTGAAGGCCGAAATCGCAGATTCCAAGCCTACAGATAACGATCGAGGAGCACAGTCCTCGGCCTCCAAGCAAAAATCATCAGGGAATGATCCAAACAATGGAAAGCCTTCACTTTCGAAGCTGGCGAAAGATACCACAATTGGAGACCCTGTCAGCATGGAATCCGAGGACGTGGTTGAATCGTCCGCCAAAGGCAAGATCAACGAAGGCTCGACACCCAGAGAAAAAGTTGTTTCTCCTTCGTCACTCAGCAATTCCGAAGCTTCGCCCCCTCCCATTCCCTCAATCGATGGCGAGTTCCTCTTCTGGTCTATGATGAGTGCTTCACGTCATCCCGATCCCTACGTCTTTCCGGCGCTTGAACGACTATCGAGCCAGGAAAATCGTCCTATCATTGGGGCTCTCTCCAACACGGTCATCTATCCGCCGGGTCATCCTTGGAGCAGAAAGGAGCTTTCTGATTCCTCCAATCCGAAAGTTGCAGACGCCTTCTTATTCAATCCCAAGAGCTACTTCGACGTCTATATCGCCAGTGCGGAAGTTGGCATGCGAAAACCTTCACGCGATATATATGACCTTGCCATTCAGCGCTTAGATGAGTTTGACAAGCAGAAAAGTGGGAAAGGGGTCAACCCGGAAGATGTCGTCTTTCTGGACGACATTGGGGAGAATTTGAAGATGGCAAGGGAGGTGGGAATGAAAACGATCAAGGTGCAATTAGGCAAAACCTGGAGAGCTGTGAAGGAGTTGGAGGGAATTTTGGGACAAGGTGTGGATTTGATGGACGAAAAGACTCGGAGGGCGAAACTGTAAGGTAGGAGACCGTTGGAGAATGACAGTTGTGGCAACTTGCAAGCTTTGGACCTCAAAAGCCGGACGCACTGGCAGATGAACGAGCAGTTGTAAGGGTATTCTACAGCTCCGGCAAAGCTTCCCAGCTTCTTGGCTAAATACCCATAATCGTGCCGAGATGGAAAAGCCCAACGCTCAAGACCGGCGATTTCTTCAACAAAGTGCCTGAAGCTCACATTGTCATTTCTGTCTTAAAGGAAAATGTTGCGGTGTCCGAAGAAGACTGGAAGCGTTTCCGTTGCACCCGGACATAGATAGACCAGATTCTAGATTTGAATGTCGCAATAAGTTGCGTGTGATCTTTGACCTGTAAGTTGATTATATGCAGCAACTCCAAGAGATGACCCAGTAGATCCTCTTTTGGTCCTAGTCATCGATCCCAATATGCCATTTCGCCGCTCGTGGACTCGTCATTTGCCATAAAAGTCTCACACAAAGCCATGCAACAACATTTCCTTCTCATACCGGAAAATGTTCCTGGAAGTTGCAGAGTAGAAGCTTTCAAGATTCGATTTGGTCCACTAGAGTTTGAGTTACTCTCGAACGTAGACAGGTGCTTTCACGAGCACACTTCGGCCCCTGACCTCAACGGCCATGAATGTGGAGAATCTGACTCTATCCTCTTTTGGTGGACTCGGTTGTTGTTGCACTTGTCCCTGCCCCTGTTGCGGTTGTGGGCCTGTAGATGCTCCCGAGACACTACCTTTTTTCCCAGCTGCGCCGCCCATGAAACCAGTGAACATTCCTTTCTTCTTTCCTTGTACCGCTTGTTGTTGTTGTTGTTGCTGCTGCTGTTGCTGTTGCTGCTGTTGCTGTTGCTGTTGCTGTTGCTGTTGCTGTTGCTGCTGCTGCTGCTGCTGCTGCTGCATCGCTATCTCTTTAGCAGTCTCATCGTTGCCATTCCCGTTGCTAGTGGCGGTATCACGACTTTCGATAGATCCGGTCTCCTCAGTCTGCTTCGAAATGATGCTCCCGCCGTCGCCGTCCGTAGGTCCTTCGCCTGGATTCGTCAAGGCAGGTAATCCGACCTCAACTTTCATCCAGGCTTCTTGCACAAAGACGCCAGGAGTGACATACTCGACAAACACGTCTCGGCTTTCTAGCGGCAAGTTGGCAGCTATGCCGACAGCAAGCTCTACAATCATTGATACGCCACCTTCAAGACCTGGTGGCGAAGGTTCTTTCAACATCATCGAGAGGCTAGCTGTCAATTTCTCAACGAGTGATTCTGTTAACGAAGCGCGATTTTCGCTTGCTTGAGAAGATGACAGGACTTCTTGTAGGCCATCTAGAGTAGCTAGACGCCAATTCGAGATCCTGGCTAGAAGAGAGTCCTTTTCTTCCTCTGAAGGGGTTGGAGCAGCAAAACGGCGAAGGTTTTTTTCTATTATTTTGAGCTGGGCTGAGAAACCGGGTTCCAGCGAGGGATGAAAGTAGCGTTCTAGTAGCTCGTCTACGAGCCATCGAGATATGCAAGCACGGCCGACAGCTGTCATCTCTTTTGTTGGCTGAGTTGCAGCGTCCCGATTGACATACGGTGCAAGCCAGGGCGGGATAGACCGCCAGTCGCGGCGGATGTTGAAAGCGAGGTTGTTGATAGCCCCGTCAAGGCGTTGAAACCTGTTCGAGTACTCGTTATCGTCTAATGAAGTGCGGGATTGTGATAGGCGCTGATGAGCAAGCGTGTTCTGAAGCTGTTGGACTTGGGCGTCTTTGTCAAAGTAGTATTTCTTTACTTTGCGATATTTGTCCTCTGTCAAGTTTTGTTTAGTATGGAATCATGAACCACAACCGTATGATAAGAATTGGAATGTAATGATAAACTTACGTAATTCATCATGACGATTAAGCAATTGCGCAACGTCTAGGCCTGATAGATCATCTCGAGACCTATTTGGAGGCGGTGTAGTTCGACCTTCTTGTTGCGTCATTGGCGAGGGTTGAGCGTTTCCCCTATAGCTTTGACCTTGCGGGGCTAGCTGAGCGCTGTACTGTGGGGGTGCGTTGGAGGGCAGATTTGGGCCCTGCTGGACACCTTGATTGTAGTGTTGATAGTTGCCCCCTTCACGACCCTGACCTCCTGACGACGAACTTTGCTGAGTCGCCTCGCTTGAGCGTCTGGTTGGAGGGGCTTGCTGAGTTGGCGGCGGTCCCATTGAGCCCTGCATATATGTACCCGGGGAAACCTGACTCTGCTCTTGTTTCTTTTGATGAGAATCCGAGGCTCGCGGATACTGGACAACAGGGGGAGGCTCTAGCGACTGTGCCGATGATGGTCTGCTAGTCTGATCTTGGTATAATTGCTGAAGCGCCTCGTGCGCCCTATGAGCAAAGGGATGACTGGATGTCGAGGTCGCGGAAGAAGGAGAAGGGTGATATGACGAAGGCTGTTGGCGAGCAGTTTTGGGTGACTGAGAAGAAGACTGACGCTCCAAAGGCTGCCGAGTTGCTGAATCCGAGACTAAAGCTTGCTGCGTTAACCTGCCGTAGAGATATTCCTCGTGAGTGAGTGGCGGTGGGAAACCTGGAGATCGCAGTGGGTCTTTCTCTGACGCCGTGTACTGGGCATACGAGGTCCGGAAAGTGGCCCCACTGTCAAAGCTTTCGAAATCAGCATATCTTCTTCGAGATGGTTTCTAACTTGTGGGACAAGTCTTGAGTGTTAGGCGAAGATACCAATCCCCCGGCCTCTCTTGTGACTCAAATCTTTGTATCCAATCCATCAGGAAGGAATCACTCTGTGAAGACGTACCTTTCTGGCTCTTCCTCGTCGTCCAAAGGATTCGAGGCAGACCAGCGCTCTTGCTCGGTACGGTTGCGAGCGTCGGTGATGTGGGACTCTGGCTGTTGGTGCTGGCTCTTCCTCACAGATGTACTCCTCCCAACCTTTTCAAGCTTGTCTTTGTTAATCTCTTTGGATGAACCTCCGAGTCCAAAGAACCTCCTCTTTTTCTGCTCCGCTTTGTGCACTGGAGCTCTTGGAGAATGTTGGTAATAATGATCTGGGTTGTCGTCCTCGACCGCGGAATTTGGCGTGCTGTGAAGGCTGATCGGTGGCTGGGTAGTAGTATTGAGCAGGGTTGGGAGCCGATGACTCTGGGACCTTGTGGGACCAGATACCAATTGACTCTGGGGTCTCGTTGGACCAGATGCCAATTGATAGAATCCTGCTTCTTCTGAACGAGGTGGTAGCCCCTCGTCGTGGACGTGATCCGACGTCGTGAAGTGGGGGGTATCGGCGTCTCTCTCGTCTTGCGAGCCCACTGAGATCTCTGAACGGCTGGTG